GAATTGGTTTTTTCCTGTTTGATGCTTCATCCAAATAAAATGTTTATAAACACACAAAATCACTCCTGCCATAACGGACTGTGACCTGAAAGGGCTGAAGGGCCCCAGGCAGGGGACACAGGCTACATGACCACTGACATTAAAGCACAGCTCTTCTAGTCTGCAAACCCATTTTACACCCAGGCACAAACAACTTCAAGGCTTTAATTAATGCACGTGCTCATGTGCCTCACACCCAACAGAAAATGAACTAAGAATAGGAAGAAGGTTCATTACAGAAAAACACTTTGAGTCTTCAGCATCTAGGATGTACTTAACAAAACTAAACCAAACAAAAAAAAAGCCCATCTTAGAGACAAAACTAACAGTACCAAAACTTGAAGTACATGAGATTCTAGAGGAAAACGTGTTGTACGAGGTGGAGGAGAATATCACTTCCTACAGAGACACTGAAAAGAAAGCAGGATGTTTTGTAGGGACAGAAGTCTGAAGGCTGAGACAGGAAACCTTGAACGCATCCCAGCCAAATCTCAGAAGAAGACAGAAAACCACCCATTTTATGCAGGAGACCTCTGTTGGCGAGAGCTGCTTAGAAACCATGCTTTCGAATGATGCATCATAGACTGGCCTAGGCTGGAAGGGACCTTAGAGATCATTTAATCCAACCTCCCTGTCATGGGCAGAGACGCCTCTCAACTAGATCAGGCAACACATGGGGACCGAGCAGGGAAAAAAGCTTTCTAAAAAGCATGTTAGAAAATGTGTATAAAGGAACTCTAGGTGAGAGATGGATGACAGCTTAGGAAAAAAAAAAAAAAGAAAGAAAGAAAAAAAGAGAGACAGAGAAAGGCTGTGAGTAGTGTCCATGTGCCATGTCAGACCAGCCTGTGACAGTCATAGCTCCATGGCTGCTTCCCTTGCCTCAGAACTGCTAGCAAGAGCAGAACATTTTTTATTAACTGCTGTTCCTCTAAATGTTTTCCAAATTTATCATTGGCCATGCAAGCATAGCCAGTTTCCCCTTCGTGGGATTTCTCAGAATCCAAAAGACAAGATTTGTCCTTTGCCCCTCCCATCGTGGTTACCCCGTGTGCCTTGAGACAGCGTTTTGGGTGGCAGACGTGGGTGAGATGGCACATGCCGGGAGACCCGCCTTCGTGCCCAGATGGCAAAATCTCTTGGCTCAAAGTCATCACGTGCCCTCCACTGGTATTTTCTTTCTTAATTCAAATATACAAGATGGCTTTAAAGAGAAAAATCGTTGTTCTCTCCACCCACGATGACATTATGTCTTACCAATGAACACTGTCCCATTCCTGTCAATGGGAACGCACACCGTGTGTTCAAAGAGGGGCCATGGTCAAGTCGAGAGCAGGAAGGCAGATGGAACCAGAGTAGCCCTCGGGCTGCGGAGCTGGGTGGAAGGCAAGCGTTACTGCATGGCAATTTCTGAACCACAGAACCAAATCGCGCTGCAGTCCCCAAGAGGACCAGGACTCCCTAGGAAGCTACACCTGTCACAGGCATGGTGACAACCCAAGGAACTCCAACATCAACAAAACCACTCGCAAAACTTCAAATCTCAGCAAAGAAATTTGCATTAGGTATTAGGGTATTAGGAAGGGGAGAGACTTCCCACTGGGAACACCGAGATCCACACTTTGCTTCCCTGAACATTCGGTAGTCTAAAAGCAGCTGCACGTGTATCTCTTCCACATGGCCTGGTCAGGAAGTCGTGGAATTTGGAAAGCTCCATCACAAATAACTTCAGAGGCATGCTAACCCCTACCTAAATCACCATGCTGCCTGAAAAGTCCCTTTCTCTATCCCTCTCCCTGTCCCACCCCTTCTGCTCCATGAGGGTCACCAAGTAAAAACTCCGGGCAGCCTGCTCAGCACTTTGCCCTGCAAGTGATCTTCTGTGCATCACTCCACAAATGTCCATGAAGTTCTGAACGAGAGCACTTTTTAAACAGGGTGACTTTGGGGCAAAATCCCTGGCAAAATCACAGAATCATCGGAGCTCTAGAGATCATCTAGTCCAATCCCCCTGCCAAAGCAGGATTGCCTCTATACATCTCCCATCACATGTGTGATTTATGCAGCCAAGAGTCTCTGGCCAGAGACATCAGGACCTCTTTATTTGTCATTAGCAAAAAAACTCCAAGAAACTGAATTTGAAAAACTAAATTTCGGCCTTTGATAAAAGTTACACATAGAGACTACACATTCCTTAACGTACAAGCTGGCTTAAATTCTTACATAATGATTATCAAAAAGGTCGGATCTTCATCTAATACGGCTTCTAGCTCCTGCCGTAGAAACTGAAGAGTTACCTATCCAAATCCAGTCTCACACCTCCTACTGTACTAGCTCGACTAGAGGCACAGCAAACACACATTAGCTCAGCTCTTGTAATAACGTCTGAAGGTTAAATACAGCTCAGGCCCAGGCAGGCGGCAGCGCGGGTATGAAACAATGCAAACCCCCCAACCCTGCCACAATCCGCCAGTGCACATTGTTGCACAAGGTGGACCTCTTCTGGTGGAGAGCTTGTGCTCCAGAACACCTGGCTCCATTCGCCTTGGCTGAGCAGGGATAAACGACCTCTTTTAAAAGTAACTCATGCATACAGTGGGGCCAAGGGAAGCAGCGGGTCAGGAGAATCAGAGCACACAGGCGAGTCCTTACCTCAACGAGTGTCAAACTTTCATCGTTCAAGACGACTCTGGGAGGTGCAATAACTGAAGTTAAAAAACAAGTTACAAAACAGGACCACCCAGCAACCAAAACAATAAATACAGCAGGTAGGGGAGGAATTACTGTTCTTTAAAGAGCGACACATCCTCGCTGCCCACACAGGTGTCTTATTCGGCAGAAGCACAATGCGGCTACGTGAGCAGGTCACACCTTTTTTGTGCTCTGAGGCTGTATTTAGGGAAGGATTTCCTCCCCAGGTCACACCTCAACAGCATCACAGGATCCCAGAGGCATAACTAGGAACAGGCTTTGTAAAATAAGGCCAGATATTACCAACAGAACACTCACACAAGTAAAATGGCAAGTCTGGATCTGCAAGGTGGCTTCTTACAAAGTCTCTCAAAATGCCAACTGTGAATAAAGAAGAGAAAGGTTTGCTGAATTATACTTGTTTCTCCAGATGCTGGGAGCCCAAAAAGGCTAGCCTGTAACAGCAGAACTGCCCTCTGCAGTGCCTGCAGACTGCCTTTTCCTCAAAAGAACACTGTTACTATTACAAACGTCTTGGGAGGAAAAAAAAAACCAAACAACGAAACAAACACAAACAACTCAGACATGCTGCAACCCTCAGTAAAATCTAAGGATGCCAGTGCAGTTCTTCCTAGGAAATCCAATAGAAGCTGCAAGATTTGCAGCAATCAGCCAGCTGAGAGTCTGGTAACCCGTTATCAGTTATTATTCCATACCAAAGTATCAACTGTGTGAGGAACCATCGCTGCCAGCTGAGACTAAGAGGATCTCCCCTAACACCAGAGCTACCTGGTGTATGGTCTTTTGGGAACGGACAGAGGCAGAAGGTTCCACCCCTCATTATTGTTATTACAGTAGCTAAAGCTTCTTTTTCTTATTCCTGTCTTTTGGGGGGTTGTTTTGGATTGGGGAGTTCTTTCCCCCCAAAGTTTTTTAAGCGTTAACACAGACGAAATGCCTGATCTCAGTAACATACCACTTGGACACAAGCAAGGGGCTAGTTTCCCAAGCACAACTACGTTGCCACCAAGCAGCCTGACAGTCTCCATCAAGCCGTCCTGCAAATAAACTCGCCCTAAGTCAACTGCCCCACACTCTTTTCTCATCCCGTTCAGGGGCTCTACAAGGACAGTGGAACTACCTACTGCTGCTTTTCAGAGCAGTATTACTCCCCCGGACAGCAGAAAGGTCTGTGCAGAGGCACCCTCTCGTGTCACACAACTGATCCATGATGAGAGAGGTTAGTGGCACCTACACAGGCTGGGGGGCAGATTGCTCTTACCAGTTTCACTGGGATGGAAGAACCCCTGTAGAACATGACGGTCTGGGAAATGGACTCTCAGCACCACCTAAGTCAGAGGCAAACCACACCAGGTCAATTTGTTCATGGCTCTTCCGTAACACCAGACCTCGACTTAGAATTTGCAAGCAAGTTGGGTTTTTTTGGAGGCAAGAGGAAATGTGAGCTATTTACTCTATAGCGGTAGAATAGCTTAGTGGCTAACAATCACTGCGCAGCTCCTCAGAGAACGCAGGCTTCTGGCTTTCAGTGGTCTGTAAGAGAGCTGATCTAAAGAAGCAGCACGATGTACAAAGCAGCAACACTCATTCAGGAAGTGGGAGCTCCCTGTGCCAAGCGATGCGCAAAGTGGGAAGGCACCCATGGGTAGGTACAGGCAGCATGTCCACCGC